TTTTAAAAAATCTGCCAAACTTAATAGTAAAAAATACAGTTAAAAATAGGTAAAGAACGTATTTCACCGAAAAAGAGATAAAGATGGCAAATAAGTACATGAGAATATGTTCAATATCATCAGCCAGCCATTAGGGGATGCAAATTAAAATCCCAATGAGATCTCACTATCAGTAAGACTAAAATTAGAGAGAGAGAGAGAGAGAGAGAGAGAGAGAGAGAGAGAACTAAAAACTGGCGAAGATGTGGAGAAACTGGATCCCTCAAGCATTGCTGGTGGGAATGTAAAATGGTGCAGCCGCTTTGTAACACTCTGACAGCTTCTCATAAAAGTAGGCATGGAACCACCCTATGACCCAGCAGTTTCACTCTTGGGATTTTATCCCAGAGAAAATAAAAATTTATATTCATACAACAATATGTACACGAATGTTCACAGCAGCTTTATCCATCATCATAATAAAAACCAAAGTACTAGGAGTCATTGAGAAGAGGCGATGCTGTATTTTAAGATTTTGAAAAGATGGAGACAGCTACATCAGAAGAGGACATGCTTTAGAGGAGGGAGAAACGCATAATAAAGAACGAGTCACAGGGAAAGATAAGCCGGCAGAATTCTCCAGAAATGATGCCAGGACGTTGGCGCCCTGGGAGGAAACCGAACCCTACTTTTGCAGAAACAAGAGCAACGTGTGAAGCCTGGGACCCGGGGGCGTGCCCTGGCCCCTAAGGAAGGACCGACCAACGGAACCAGGAGCCTGAAAGGTGGGGCGGGAGGACAAAGGTAACCATGGCCCCGTCCCCGCATTAGAGGGACTTCCATTTCACAGGGCCATTCGCATTTAGCCTTCGATGTACAAGTGGCCCCTCTGATTTCGGTGGAGCGCGAAGACCCCTCCTATTTGCTGAAATAACAAAGGGACCAGCGGACTTTAGAAAACCAGGTGACCCCCAAAGCGGCACTCAAGACGGGGTTCCTTGGAGTGAGATGTGCTGTTCCCCGGAATATGTGACTTCATAAAACTGATGGCTCCACAGGCAATCGCTTTTGGAAGCGCTGCCTTACCATGGCTCTGCTCTCCTAAGGGCAGGACGCCCCGAGTCCCATAACCCACCCCACCCCCCGAGTCTCCATAAACTCCCGTGGGCTGGGCATCTCAGGAATGGGAAGGAAAAGCAGCCGTCCCCCAACCGTGGCCACAGAACCTGGTCCTCCCGGAACTCGCCTCTGCCGCACCCTCCAGCGCACCATTAGGGAAACGCTTATATGAGAGAAATTGCTGGGTTTCATCCTCTGGTCCAAGTTAACTGGATCCCACAGTGACGTGGAGAAGCTATGATGTGACCTGCCTTGGGGGTCACATTACAGAGAAGCGAAGACGCTTGAAGGAGCAAAGGCAGGGTTAGAAAGCTGGGTCCCAAACCCGGGCCCGGCAGACGCCCCACGCCACGTGCCTTGGTCTTCCTTCCACTCAGACCCGTTCCCAATTGTCCCTCAGCACAAAAAAGTAAACTACGCAGGGAAACGCTCAGCCCCTTCGGGTGAGAGTGAACGACTCTGATTTCCGGAGTGAAAACAGTGGACTTGTGTCTAACGGGAGGAACTCTATTTAAAGCCACTGGCACCTTCCCACGGTTGCAATTACACTTCATCAAACTCACAGCCTCTCTGACAGCCGAGTGCTGGCGGGCGCTTCGGGACGAGGTAAAGGAACAGAAAATGAACTGCTCTGTATGTGCATTATTCATATATTTACTTTCCCATTTTCACACGAGAGCACCGTTAGCTACATGTGCAGTGAGGAAGGCACCAACTTTTAAAAGTCTACAGCCAATCTCTTGTTTTAAAACTTCTAAGAAGGCTCCTGTGCAAAACTGGCATTTTTTCCTTAGTAATATCTTTTAAAGGGACATGATCTCAGAAAGGCTACCGATTTCCTAGAAGAAAGGTATGCCTGCCTAGGTCCCACCGCCCCTGCACTGACCAAATAGCAGAATGCACGAGCCCTCATTTCTCTCAGCAATGGCCTCATTTAGAGTCACATGAACTCTGAAATCTGGTCACGGTGTGCTAAGTATAACCCCCAGCCTGTTATTATCAAGATTCATAAATTACACAGCATTTAGATTTTAAAAAATGCATATCTCACAGTCACTTCAGCGTTTTTATGCCCCTGAGAGATTAATACTGAATGTATCAGATCTGAAAGAACAGGAAGGAAGAATCGGCAGCAGGAACTCATCCAGGGCTTGGAAGCTTGATATAGATAATTCTTCCCTCTAATGCTTTGAACTCTGGTTAATGGTTATTAGAGATGAAAGGGAATTGGCTTACCACGTTCCTCGCAGATTTACATATGAAAGTCCAGAGCCAGCAGGTAGAAGTCTGAAATAGGGCAAGCTTGTCCTCAATCTCCCCTTGCTTGTTCCACATTCAGAGGGGAACTACCAGTCCACTTCGGTCTTCCCAATCCTGGCTTCCTCACCCCTGTCATCACTCATCCCATTTCCTCCAGATCAAAATCCCTGCTCCTGGCTTCACATGTCTTAAGTACAGATTTTTTTTTTCTTCTGGAAAGTGAACTAAAAGTTTAACACAAAGGCATCTATTCTATTCCATGAGTTGACAATGCTCACTGCTTCCCAACCAATGCTGTTCAAAGTGCCTACTGTGTGTTAGGCTCTACTAACTAATAGAGAACCACACCTAACCCCACCCCCCAAAATCTCTATCCTTGTGGGCCTTACTTTAGGTTGGTCCAGTGGTGAAGACAATAAGAAACAACCAAGTACTAAGTACATATGTAGTGATAAGTGCTCAAGAGAAAAGTAAAGTGAGATGGGGGGAAGGGGTCAAAGGACCCCAATTTAAATCATGGAGTCAAGAAATGGCTTCACTTTGAGATAATGTAAGCAATGACCTGAGCAAAGTAAGGCAATGAGCTCGGTGGATATTTGTGGGGACAGTATTCCAAAGAAAGGGAAAAACAAGCTCAAAGGCAGGACTGTGGTTGGCCCACCCCAGGGAAAGCAAGGGGCCCAGTGTGTCCAGAGCCGAGGAAAGTGGGATTGGGGAAGCTGAGCCGATGAGGTTAAAGAGGCCCCAGGGAGTCAGATTGTGAGTATGAGTCCACTAGAAGGACTCGGTGAGGGTGTGGAGCTGGGTATTATGATGTGATTGCCGTATGTTTCTAACAGACTCTAGAGGCCGGGAATTAGGCAGCCCAGGGGCTGGGACCACTGCAGTAGCAACAGGGAGTATGAGGAGTGTTTGGAGTCACGATGCGTATTGACCACAGAGCCAGCACCACATGCAGGTGGGGTGGGGTGGGGAAGTTTCTCTGCAGTATTCCTTGCTTGTCCTCTTTCTTCTCTTAGGCATGTGTAGGTCTGCAAGCAAAGCAGAGCCCATTTATTTTTCTACATCATGGAAGGCAGGAAGAGGGGACTGTGAAGACTCAGGTGTTTCCAGATGTATGCAGGACTCAGCGAAAACAAGGAAAGACTGACGGACATCAGGGACCAGACAGAACAAGAGTCTGCGAGTATCTTAGTCTGCTCAGGCTGCTATGACAAATTACCATAGTAATTTACTGTGTAGACCAAATTGTCAACATGGGCCCTTAATCAGATGTTATGAAGTTGCCACTTTAGGAGAATTTGCACGAAATTATTCACTTTCCCTCATAGCTAGATTCCTATGCTGATGGATCTACTGGTTTCACGTAACGTTTTAGATGGCAAGCAGCCCCCTGGTAATTTCTCACCAAATAAGAATAAGAGTCTTCAATACGGAAAACCAACACAACCAAAATGTTCTATCATAAACATAAGCATGGTCCCTCCATAGTCAGAAGAGTAGTATTCCCCAGCATGGGAATAACCGAGCCTTGGGGAAAAGAAGTGACCCCATGTGCTTTTACATTTTCACGGAAAGGGAAGATACATAGGCTGCCTGATAACAAGGACTATGAAAAATATCACCATCCTTGAATTACCTTAAATTTCTACTCCTGAATGAAGCATTTTAACATACAATTAATTATTATTTTTAGTAAGGAAGTCTCACTACTACTGCTAGGAAAACTGGACATCTGAATTAAATTTAGTCATCAAACTTAAAGAAATAAATGAATGGGCAGGACTTCCTCCTCCTCTACCTATCACCTGTTTTCTAGCCTCCCAGCCCCAAATGCTACTCAGAAGCCACTACCCCATCCTGTTGAAAAAAAACTCTCGCCAAATCTCAGGACCATTGCCTAGAAGGGAGGGGGCAATTCAAGTCTGAATCCTATCAGTGTGTAGGTAGAGGTGTTCTCTGGAGACTTTGAGTCTTTGCCTGATCTAATTAGTTAGAAACAGTGTTTGACACTGTCCTGCACTAGAGTTTGAGAGGCATAGAGGATCTACCTGGTACATAGTCACAAACCCAAAGAGATAGCCAAAATGAGGAGACAAAGAAAAAACACCCAAATGAAAGAACAAGAGAATTCTCCAAAAAAAAGAGATAAATGAAGCAGAGATAAGAAATTTACTTGTAACAGAGTTCAGAGTATGATGTTAAAGATAATCAACAGCATGAAAAAAAAGATATAGTAACTATGAAAAAAGAACAGTTGGAAATAAAGAACGACATAACACTAATAAACAACACATTGGAAGGAATACACTGCAGATTAGGAGAAACTGAGGATCATGTATGAGGGTCTATTCTGCATCAGGCACTGGGCTACATTCCATGCGATCCAATCCTTACTCTCAAGGCTCTGTTGTTGGAAGTGGGGTCTACTACGCAAGTTGAAAATTTACAAAACATGGGATTGGAAAACAACAAGTATTTTAAACAATTAGCAAGTAGATATCACTTTAGAGATGCTTTGTGCTTGGAAAAATGATTATTTATACCTTGATCAAATAATCAGGAGAGGTTTTCAGAGTCAATGAACTTGAGTTACCTACTTGTGAACAGATGAACTGGAAAGCCAGAGCAATCGATCTTACCTTATGGTAACACCTAAAATACGCAGCACGTTCATCAGAAAATTTCTCCAGTCTCTTGGGGCCTTTGCTGGAGGCCTTCTTGAATACTAACCAGCATCGCTGATAAATCTGGAAGAAAATGCAGAGGCTGGACTCAGCAACACCACAGACTCAGGTATGATGTAATGACATTTGCATTTAAAGGTTTCCTTGTTGATGTTTTCACCTGTGAAATGACCAGAATCCATAAAAGCAATGTTTCACTGGAAAATAAAATTTAAAAAAAAAATGTTTCCACAATGGGCACATTATGTCATTCTGACAATTACTGGAATCAAAAGAAAAGAAGTATTCAAAGGCAAATTTATTCATGTTTTGATAACAGTATCAGTAGAAATATTTAGCAAAAAGTCCCAGAGATAAAAATCTCAACCATTTCAAATAATACAGGCTTTCACAGCACATGCTCCAATTTCAAATGCAATCAGATATGGGAATCAGGGGTCCAATACAACTTAAAGACCTCATTGGTAGTCAAAATAGAGAGTGCCTCTCAAATATCCAGAGGTATCATAAAACAATATAGTAATTAAAATAAATTATTTTGGCTTTTACCTTGCATAGTCATTGGCCTATCAATGGCTATAACATGGAGACAAAAGGGGAAAAGTAACTCAATGGAGAAAAGTAGTCTTTTACACAAATGATATTAGAATAATTGACCATCCAGAGGGGAAAACAAATACATTAATCTAAAACACCTATCTTATACAAAAAAAATTAACTCAAAGCGGACTTAAATATAAACCAAAACTATAAAACTTTTAGGGA